GACAAAACTCAATGGCTTCTTCTGCAATGTACCTTTCCACAATAGAAGCTTTTGGCCTGTACTCGATTCTTCACATATCCTTTTAAGATCTTCATGTATCTCTCAGCAGGATACATCCATCTAAGAAAAATTGGACCACATAACCGAATTTCCCTTACCAAATGGACTATCAAATGCACCATGATATCAAAAAATGAAGGGGAAAATACATTTCTAACCGGCACACTATCACAATTGCTTCATTTTCTAATTCATCTAACTTTTTTGGATCAATTACCTTTTTACAAATGGCGTTGAAAAACAAACATAACCGAAGTAATAGCAATTCTAACGAAGTTGGTAAGATGTTTCGAATAGCCACTCGGTAAAAGTTGTTGCATCAACACATGACAATCATGAGACTTTAAACCAATTAATTTCAACTCTTGCATAGACACAAGACTCTTAACATTTGAGGAGTATCCTTGTGGCACTTTGACCTCACGTAAACACTCACAAAAGCTTCTCTTTTCTTTCTTTGATAGAGTATGACAAGCTGGAGGTAAGTAAGTGCGTTTTCCAACCGATTGTGGATGTAATTCAGAACGTATACCCATGTCCGCCAAATCTTGTCTTGCTTTTATTCCATCTTTTGTCTTTCCTTTTATGTTAAGCAATGTCCCAATTATACTATCACAAACATTTTTTTCAACATGCATCACATCTATACAAGTGTCTAACTTCCAACTTACACCAATAAGGAAGATTGAAGAATATAGATTGTTTCTTCCAAATGTTTTTCTCAGTGGATTTCTTTTGGGTCTTTCCAAACACAATATTAATATTTTTCACTTGTTCATATACTTGTTCACCATTGCGTGATACTGATGCAACTCGCATTCTCCCGACATCCATTAAATGTTTTTTTCATTTTACGATATGGATGATTAGCAACTAGAAACTTTCTATGCCTATTGTACGCAGTTTTTTGTCCATGTTTCAATTGGATATAACTTGTGTCTTCTTGACATATAGGACACGCTAAATGACCTTTCACACTATAACCGCTCAAATTACCATATGCTTGGAAAATCATTTATAGTACAAAATAACATTGCACGCAACCTGAAATTCACTTCGTGATATGAATCAAATACATTCACTCCTGTTTCCCACAACATTTTCAAATCATCAATTAAAGGACTAAGATATACATCTATGTCATTTCCTGGTTGTCGAGGTCCCGAAATCATCATAGATAACATCATATATTTTCTCTTCATGCATAACCAAGGAGGCAAATTGTAAATGATCAACATAACCGGCCATGAACTATGTTTACTACTTAAATTTCCATAAGGATTCATCCCATCTGTAGCTAATCCAATTCTCAAGTTTCTTGGCTCTGCACCAAATTCGGAAAGGTTTCATCAATCATTTTCCATTGTGGAGAATCAACTGGATGTCGAAGAAGATTGTCACATTTTCTACCATTTGCATGCCATGTCAAGTTTCTTGCATCTTCTTTTATGGCAAATAATCTTTTAAACCTAGGTATAATTGGCAAATACCATAACACCTTAGCAGGGGACCATCTACTTCTTCCTCACCACTACTTTCCTCAACTTTGTTTTTGAACCTCGACAAACCACATGTCGGACACATCTTTAATTTAGCAAAATCCTTTCTGTACAATATACAATCATTAGGACATGCATGTATTTTCTTGTACTCTAAACCCATTGGACATAATATCTTCTTTGCCTCATAGTTACGAATAGGTAATGTATTATCTTCAGGAAGCATCTCCTTCAACAACTCCAATAATTCGGTGAAACTTTTATCAGTCCATCCATTTCTTGCTTTTAAAGTAAACAATTTTAAAGTTGTTGATAATCTTGTAAAACTACATCCTATGTACAATTGTTGCGCAAAATCAGATTTCAAAGAATCATATAGATGTGCTTTCATAAAATTTTCTTCACCAATATCACGTATCATATCCTCTAGATTATCATTCATCCCTTCATCAAAATTGTCTGTAGTTGACACAGTTGGGATGTCTAATATTTCTCCATGCCATGTCCATATTGTATAACTCTTAATAATACCATAAACAAACAAGTGATCACGTATATCCTCAAGTTTATGACGAATTTGATTCAAACAACGAACACATGGACAATAATATGTCCCTTTCATAGCTTTTCCATTCTCACTAGCAAATTTCAAAAATTCCTCAACTCCTTTTTCGTATTCTTCACTAATACGACGTGCATTCATCCAACTTCGATTCATATTATGTTATAAAGTTTCGTCACTCCTAAAGATTTAAAAATTATATGTAAAAAAAATTAATATACAAACAACAAATCACGTTCCAACAACAATGGAGTGTGTAAACCGAATGCACTCAAACAAATAAACAAATAATTACATTCCAATAACAATGCAGTGGAGACATTCATACTATAACGTGATTGAGATCCCCAAAAACAATCACGGGACATAGAACACTAACCTCGAGTGTAGACGAAAACTGATTTCAAACTCGATTCCAATCGGGCAGAAAGATCAAGTTCGTCAAATGACACGATAATGTAGATGATTTTCACTGTAAAACTGCTCGAAAATGGTGTGCAGAGGTAGTTGTTGTCGTCGTTCTCGTCGTCGTTCTCAAAAACCCTGGTTGCGCGAGACGAGGAAGTGGGTCTGGAGGGAAATAAAATAGACTTTTTACGTCGTGCATCCCAGCACGCGACGTAAAAAGCCATCTTTTACGTCGCGCCTCCCAGGTGCGATGTAAAAGAGGCTTTTTACGCCGCGTGCTGGGATGTGCGACGTAAAATTTTTGTCCCATATTTACAAAATTGTCACCGCGTTTTATTTACGTCGAATATACATGCATGCGACGACAATTGGGTGACGTAAAAGCCCTATTCTGCACTAGTGTTTGCTTTATCAGGAGAAGTTTGCGCATTGAATAAATTCCCTGTGCTTGCGTTTGTACGTTGAAAGGAATCAATTATGATACTGTTAATCCTACAGGAAATTTGGTTCACCCAAAGCTTAATCCTTCCTGACGACCTACATGGCTAAGTGCAAAAACTAATTATACAAAATTAAAAAGTTCACATAAAAAAATAAGAACAAAAAGTTTAGAGTCAAAATGTCCATAAAATTCAATCAACTAGAAGAATGAGTCCATGTGCTATTTTAAAAAAATATGTATTTTAAAAATGAGAGTTAAATAAAACATTTATTTAAAAAAATATAGATTTAACTTGTTAAATGGAGGTTTACTTCATAATCTAATTTAAATTAATAATATTAAAATTATCATAAAAAAGAAATTTATTACAAATTTTAAAATTATAAAGAAAAAAATTAATCATATTTCTACAAGAAATAAAAAAAATCATAAATTTAAATTTTGATGTTGGTAATTATTAATTATAAACTTATATAATCAAATTTTAGTACAAAATCAATATTTGTTCATAATCAATAGGAATAAATCTTTTATATTCAGAAATTACATACTTATTTATTAAATTACTATGATAATAATATTAAACACACACTACAAAAAAGTCTATTACCTACAAAATATTACCTATAGATAAAAATCAGTAGGTAAATTGTACATTACATACGAGATATTACCTACGGATAAAAATTTGTAGGTAAATTATACATTACATACAGATATTACCTACGAAATTTTATCCGTGGATAATTATCCATTACCTACGGATATTTTTCGTAGGTAATGTCATTACGTGGGTAATTCAGTAGGTAAATTATATCAAATTAAAAAAATTGTAATCGACAGGACTCGAACCTAATATCTTAGAGTTGAAATCGATACTTCAACCATTAAATATATAAATATATCAAAATATATAAATATATGAATATATAAATATATCAAAATATAAATATATTTGTATTTATATTTATATATCTTATATTTTATATTTATATATTTATATTTATATTTATATATTTATATTTACACGGATAAATATAAATATAATGTATTTATAAATAATTATCAGATATCTTAATATGTTAGTAGTTGGAGTATTAGTTTTTAATTTGAAGATACTTGGGTTTGATTCTTGTCGTTAATCTAATAATATTATAAAGGGGAGGGGGCTCTGGAATGTTTTTTTAGTGACATTTAATAAGTAATGTCTACTCCAATAACTTTTTTTATTAATTTAATCAAATTATATTATTTTTAAAGAAAAAATATTCTCATTCACGTATTTTTACTTTACTAAAAAATAATATTTAACTTTGTTCTTAGTTTTTATTTTACTTTTTCTCTGTTAAAATATGTAAAAGTAAAAAAAAACATATATTAATTTAATTCTCACAAATTTATAACAAATAATTTTCATTTTATAAATAATTATAAAAAATTCGTCTTCAACTGTAAATATAATCAAATAATGTTATTTTATTTTTATTATTTTTTTAATAAAATATTTAAAAGTAAGAAACAAATAAAAACATAATAGTTTCACAAGAATTTATGAAATGTAAAAAAAAATTATGTACTCTTACATAGTCATTTTTATTTTATGAAAAAATGGAAAATAATAATTTTTACTCCATAATTTAAAATTATTTCTTATTATATAAAATAAATAAATAATGTAAAATATTACATTAAAATAAATAAATAAAAATTCAAATAAAAATATTATTATATTTTTATTTTTTAAAATAAATAAATGATAACATAATAAATATTTATAACAGTATTGATTATTATAAATATCTGCTTGTAGTGGATAAAATCTATTTTGATTTTATTCTACCTTATTTTATGTTATTGCTAACTTAAATGTTTGTCTTTTTGTTGAATGATGAGAGCATTTTGGGCTGATCAGAAAAATTACTTTCCCTCTTATAATTTTCTGTCCAAAGCCCAATGAAACTGAATAGCTTTCCATTTCAATATTTCACATCAGCAACCCAAACCTAAGTTTTTCACAATAAAAAAAAACATGGGCCAAGATTGGATGGCGTATACTATGGACGGTATTGCGAATGGGTGGCGTAACTGGGTTCAACATTTCTGTCTCGCTTTAAGTCATATTAATAAGGTTACCATGAGTTAACACGTATAACTTGTATACTTTTTTTATATGTTCTTAAATTAAAATAATTATATTATAAATGTTAACTTTTAGATCATTACATATAGTGTGTTTTAAGATTTTATTAATTACTTTCTATGTTATGATTATATTTTTTTTTCAAACTAAATATAAAAGGGAAGAAAATTAGATGTGTCAACCAACATTATCACCTTATTAAAACTTATGCAACCATTACAATTTTCAAGAAATTCATACGCATATATATATATATATATATATATATATATATATATATATATATATATATATATATATATATATATATATATATATATATCATATCCCAACTTGGTAAAAATAATGCACTTCGTATTTAAAGTTAAGAAACTTAAAAAAAAAAAACTGCTCCTTAATTCTCATTGCTTGCTTTCTTAGGTTTCATGCATTGATCAGTTAAATATTTAATGTCTTCAGAAAATAACACGCAAAATATTTAAAGCAGATCTATAACAGAGTTTATTATTAGATATTTAAATAAAATATTAATTGTTTGAAAAAAATATTGAAAGAATTCTAAGTAATATCATAAATTATTTTACCAAACAACTTAAGAATGAATAAAAAAAAACAAATAATAAGAGAAAAATATAATCTATAATTTTTTTTAAAAGAAAATTTTATCAAGCAAATTGTGAACTGATTAAGTATAATATAATCTAATAAAATTCATATTTTACGTTATGAGAAACAATTCACAGTTCTTTTAGAAATGAGCTTCAATAAATAATGGTAAATATGAAGAAAATATATATATAATTATATATAAAGGAAAATTCTTTTGTAACTGTTCTTTTAATGTTATGAGAGAAAAAAATATAAAAGTGTTATAGTTAAAAAAAAAAAGAGTTATTATGATTTATATATTTTTAATAAAAATATGAGAAAGAGAAAAAAGTTGAGAAAAAATGTAGGTATATTTAAAGAATATAAAGAGAAAATAAAATAAAATAAAATTTAGTTTAAAATAATATTTTAAAAAAACAATTATAAAAAAATGGGGACACATATGTATTTAAGTGCTGTATTTCTAATGATAAAAATTAAGTTTAAAATTATACATTAAAAATTATTTTATACAAATTCAATTTTGATATTATAATATGCTTTTAATTTATATTTTGTAAAAATATTTATCACTTAAATTTAATTTTAATGACAATCTTATTTTTACAAATATTTATTACATTAAAGATAATTCAACTTGTGATTAAAATATAAATATTTTTTCAATAATATAAAACATTTAATATAAGAATATAATAAATGTTTTTTTTTCAAAAAATTTGAATACCCGTCGATGAAACCTTGCTTTCATATTTCTGATATAAAACATACTATTAATCATTTAATCCACGTGCTCAACCACCTTGTTTCATTGTTTCTCTAATTTTTGTTTTATTGTATCACTCTCAATCAAATTGAGTTGATTTTGAAGTTTAGTTATAAAATGTCTATCACATTTATATTGAATCTAAATCCCACCTACAAGTCCCATTTCAGTTAAAATCACGTGGCAGAATCCCACGGGACTTTTATACTCAATAGTTGGAGATGGATGTGTTGTTCAAAGGTGCGTTTTTGGTAGTTAATAAAAGTTGAGTTAGTCTAATTAAAGTGATGTTATGTTATTCAAGAAAAGCGTGGTGGTGCAGGAGACTTATCAATCAAGGAAGGACAAGAATTTTCAGTGAGGGGATGACATTAGATCTCATTAAGGTGGACAACCAAATTAGCACTCATGAATCATGATCCAACCCAATGCTTCATTCCAAAAACCTTGTCCATGTGAAATGCATGGTAGGAGCTGTAAGTTTCAAAACTTTGTGAAGTGAGTAAATCAAATAGTAAAGACAAGGGTAAAAATGACACTTACATATCTTAATTATTAATCTTAACGGATTAAATAATATATTATTAATAAATAATAAATAAATATGAAAAAAAATGAAAAAATAAAATTATAGATATATACTTAAATATATTTAATGATTATTATGTTTATGTTTAAAAGATCAAAATAATAAATTACATCAAATTACAAAATTTTAAGGGTAAGGTAAACTTCCAATAAGATCCACGAATGCAACAAGGGTAAACATATAAACAGCTAACAATGCTTAACTTTGCAGCTTCGAAAATAACGGCAGCAGAAAGAAAAAAACCAACGCATGCACGTACCTATTGTGCAGAAGAGAAGTCAATTATGCAAGCTGGAATGGGATGGAGATAGTACAAAAACACGTTGATGGATCCAACGTACCAAATATGTGATCATGGACATGCTTCTATAAAAAAAAATTCTGTGCATCACAGTCTAATGAGATGCCTCCATTTAATGTCTATGCGTCGTGCTTCTCTCCCTTGGAAGCTTCCACCAATTCAATTAATTTCTTTCATGATAATCAAACAGTGAAAACGAGGGTTGGTCCATCCCTTCCAATAGCGTGACAACGATTATGCATGTGTTAAGATTTTCATTACCACGTTCAATAATATCCTCTTACTTACTACCACATAGGTGATACTATTGAGGGAAATATCATGTAGAGATTTTATAACCCTAACTATTATTTTATTGTATTTTTTTTCATTCTGTAGGTGTATATTATGGTATCATTTATGGCAGTTTAATTGACTTGATCATGTTATTTATGGACTGAACCATTTTATGTTTATTAAAGATATAATATCATAATCTCTTTTTGTTCAATACATTATAATATTAATGTTTGACATTATATGTATGTACTTACTAATATAATAATAGCATTGAATTTTGTTTAGCAACAAGGTGGGTGGGTGCAAGCAAAGGCAGGAAGGCATGATGTTGAAAAAGGGGAGAAAATATTGTGATGGATGAAGATGGAGTTGCCTGCCATGCAAGTGGCAGCCCCAGTTGTCTCTACAGTGCACTACCATTGTAAGATGTACTATTTGTCTCAGGTTTTGCTTGCACTGCTGTTTCTAGTTGGCACATACCTCCCTATACATTTATGGCCCCTTTTTTAAGTGGGTAGAGACTACCTACTACTACCAGGGACACACATTAGCCTTGGAAATCATCAGGGACCAACTATAAATTCAACCATTACATAAATAACCAATTTTATATAAAATAACTATAATTATTAATTTTTTTAATATTTTGTCTAAAATAATCAAATACAATTACATGTACTATAGAGATTATATAAAGAACACTACTACAAAAATAACCTTAAATGTTAAATAGAAATTTGAAATATGTTTCTTTAAATAAAATAATCACGATAATAACCCTAAGATAAATAAGGGTCCAAGGTTCCCACGGCTGCATGCACTTCCATCCCTCCCCATTACACCACATTTCTGGTGTTTTTTCATTTACATGTAAAGAAATTTATCCACGTCAACTTTATTCACCAAAATTTCTTTGGGATGATTACAGGGTGTATTTACTTGTAAATTTTAATGGGATTAGTTTCAGTAAAGGTACTACAGTGTTCAATTCCCCTCGTCCCAACATTATATGTTAAATATAAATAATTAAATTATATGTTAAATATAAATAATTAAAGTATATAATTTAAAGTCAAGAGTAATTATATTTAAATTATTCTTTGATTATGAATTGTGTTTCAACTACTTAGGATTATATCTAATTGTTTACAATGTCATACTTGGACGCTCTTGATAATATATATGAATGTTTTTATTTTATTTTAGATAATTCAACAGTGAAATTTAATCTATTTTATTAAAATATAATATCTATAATTATAAAAAGAGTAGTGATACTTTAACGAGAAACAAACATCTCCTTGTACAACTCATATTTATTAATATAATAATAAACAAATATTTAAAAAAATAAAAGTAATTTAAATTATTATTATTATTATTATTATTATTATAATATTATAATAAATTGTATATTGAAAGTTTATAAAAATAGTGGTGGTCAAAATAACATTTTCCTTATAAAAACGGAATCTATTTTCTCACTTCCAAGCATAACGTGTGACAACATATACCATTCATTATAAAAATCTTAATTTAAATTTCAAAAATATTTAAATATAATTTATATATTTAATAATTTTATTTTAAAATGGTAACAATTTTTTTCTTCTTAATGATTTATGGTGATTTTGAAATTTTTATGATTGAAAACTAAAATAAATGATAATGTATATCTTAAAGTTTTGTTACGTAATACATTAGAATTTTTTATTTTAGCAATATAAAAAATTTGTATGTGCATAATTTAATTATTTATCAAGAACAATTTTTATTAAAAAAAAATCAAACTATTCAAGTTTCCTTTCTTGAGATATACCTATAACATTTTATCAATAGTTTATTATGATTTTATAATATTTTTACTTGAAAATTGAGGATAAATAAGTATATATATATATATATATATATATATATATATATATATATATATTAAAGTTCTGTGACATAATACATTGAAAGTTTATATATTTATATAATAAATATTGCCTATATACATGATTTAATTATTTATTTACAACAATAAAATCAAATTATTGAAATCTTCCCGAGATATACCTATAACATCTTATTATTGGTTTATTATGATTATAATTATAAGAAATTTTTATGTATATTTTCCTATTTTGTGGCATAGTACATCATCATTTTTTAACAATAAATGTAAATGATATGCATAATTTTATCATTTATACATAGTTTATAAATTTAAAAATTGGACCCCATTCTTTAACCTCCAAAAATGTCACATATCATTTTGAAAATAATTTGAATTGTATAACAACATATAATTCATTAAAAAAAATATTAACTTAAAAATCTCAAAACTATTTCAAAGTAATTTATATATACCTAATAATTACATTTTAAAATATAGTAGTTATGATTAAAAATCACAATAGATTATTATGAATATATTCATGTTTTATAATTTAATTCTCTATTAAAAACAATTTTGATTAAATAAAATCAATTTAGACAAATATCCAAGAGATATACTTATAACATGTTATCAATCTATAATTGTAAAAATTAAACATCGTTATTATTCCTTTCAAATGCAACACCTATTTCTAGAATAGTTTGTCTTATTTGGCAATATATGATCCAAGATTAAAATATTAAATTAAAAACATTAAAATTGTTTTTGAATAATATATATATATATATATATATATATATATATATATTTATTTATTTATCAACAATGTATTTTAAATCTGTAATAGTTTTTCCAACTAATGTTTTATCATTATTTCATAGTATTTTTAATAAAAATAAAATAAAATTTATATATATATGTATTCTACTTTTGTAAAATAATACTTAAAGTTTATATTTTTATAAATAAATATTATTAATATGAGTAATTTAGTTATTATTTGTTTATTTAATTTTTAATTTATGTAATTTATAAAATTATTTTAATTAAAAAAATTTAATGGGATGATTATTAAATTATAAATATATTAAAATTATTGAGTTATTTTAAAAATATTAAAAATAACTTCTTTTCATCTTATTTTATTAAGGATATTATAACTTTTTAAAATTTAAACGTTAATTTTGACAAAAGTTACACTGTTGTCTCTTTCTCTCTTTGAGAAAGAGTTTTTTGAAGAAAAAATTGACAGAATCAAATATTGATGCATTATATATATATATATATATATATATATATATATATATATATATATATAATGTCATTAAAAAAGTTTTTAATCCTTCTAGCATTAATTATTTATTAAAAAAATTAATTAAATAAAATTAGGTTATTTAATTCTGTAAGATATTTGTACATTTTTTATTAATCACTTATTATTATTTTATAATTTTTATGATTCGTGTAACTATACATATTATTATTTAATCTACTTTTAGTCTAACTAAGCAATTTTATCTTGGAGTATTTATTAAAATTTGTTTAATAACCAGATTATAATAATAATCTTAATTACAACAATCTTTAATCAAGATTTAAAAACAAATCACAACTCTTAAAAATGTTTTTTCTCACAATTTTTAAGTTAATTTGATGTAATTCACTTTATATATATCAAAATACAATAAAAGATTCACAAAGAGAAAGATAAGAATAAATTTACTTTAGACTATTAGAACATTGCATCCTATACTCAATATAACTTCTTTTTTAAGTTTGATTTTTAAAGCATTTTACAAAACTACAAATTTTGTTTATACCCATAACGTTTCTTTTTAATACTTTAATGATTTCTAAAATATGCATTTAATAAAAGAAAAGTGTCTTTCTTTTATAGAGTAAAAATATGTTATAACTTATTTAGATAATCGATTAATGGAACATCTAATCAATTATTTGCGTGCAATGATAAACTAAAAGTAAGTCATATAATCGATTAAGTATCAACATAATTGATTATTAGCGCATTATATAAAAACAAATATTTAGACACATAATAGACTAAGTGACTACATAATTTATTATTAGCGCGTGTTATGAAAATATGAATTTAAGTCGTATAATCCATTAAGTATTTATCTAATTGATTAATACAAATTTAATTTTATCATAATTGATTATTTTTATCTTTTGATTATAGCAAATATTATATTATTTAACATTATACAACTATCTAATTATCTTATAAGAAATTATTTTTCAATTAATCTTGCTTTTTCATTAACACATAATTTTTTATATGTAAAGGTCAACTCTTATATTTGAGGTATTATTTATTTTAGAATTCTTATTCAGTCATGATTTAATTTAATCTTTAAAAAACATATAAATAAATTAAAATAAAAAAATTATATAAATTATCATAATTTATATTATAATAATGTATAAATAAATATTAGAAATTAAATACACAAGTCCATCAAATAATTACATTTTAATTCATCTTACAAAATCTTTATTATAAGTTAACTATGTGTTAGGTTATATCGATATATTAAATAATATAAATATATTAATACTTATAGTCTACCAGAAAAAAATAAAAACAACAACTATATATGTCCTGGCATATAAATAAGATTGCAATTTTATAAATTTTCATTAATTATTTTATTTATTCTATACATAAATAAAGTACAAATAACAATTATTAAATATGATTCAGACACTGTAATTATATCCAGACCCTTCAACATGTCATCGTGACAAAATAAACACTACTCATACCTGAATCACTATAGAAATTTAAGTATGCTTAAAAAGCGTATTAAGAGGTGTTTATTTGTATATTTTGGATAATAATATTTAAGAAAATCATATTATTGTTATATTATAAAAATGGTAAAAGAATGATAAATGATTTTAATAAATTAATGTCTTTGTATATGAATTAAGTTATTGAACTATATTAATTGTCAAATGTAGACATATTAGAGTAAATATTCTAAATACTTGTTTATAACTATGTTCAGTTCAATTTTATTTTTTTTCTATCGTGGAAAATAAATATGTAGTGTTTATGCCCTTTAAAATACACTGTAGATCGCATTGATCATTATCATTAAATCTGTAAATAATAGTAGTTTAAATATTCTCATCACATCATAAGGTTACCATTACTCTTTGAATACAAAGTTTGATCAAATTGATTTCAAATTACTACAGTTAGTAGATTGAATTTACAATTTGTATGTTCCTGAGCGTCGAACGCACATTCCAGTTCTTAATTTGACTATTTATGATCAAGTTCTACAAACACAACCATATTTCGGAAATGTGATATTAATACTAATTTTCTGCATTTTAAACATAACAGGTTCCTAGAAACTCTTGGAGATGTAATTAAAATAACTGTATAACACAGGTTTATAGAATTTATTAATTTCCAAGGATTAAAAAAAAAAAAAAAACTAAAACTATCCAACTAACCATCGGCTGGACGTGGATGGTTAGTTGTTGGAGGGAACGTGGTGACTTTTGGGTTGGAGTCCCGTTTTCGAATTTGGCGCCACGAAAAAGAGTCCTAACGGTCAAAAAGTAGCGGTGGCGAGGGGAAGTTGTGAACCCAACAAAAAAGCGTGACTCTGGAAAGAACGAAAGTGGGGCCTAGGGGTTGTGAGGATCGTGCCATCACTTCTCACGCTGCCTACTTTGCCCTTTACCCGCTACGAAAAGACACTGTGCTTGTGTGCTTACCATGTTCGAATCCATTTCAATTTTCAAACACCCTGCGTGCGTGGCCCATGCAGCTGTTTAGGTCCACAATATCCCTCCTTTGGCGCCAACATTCCTCCCTTCCCGCCACACCTTCTAACGTCAAACCACGGTCGTTTCTTTCTTCCAAAACCCGCAATGCATGCCGGCTCACGCCGTCCCTCTCTCCGTTTATTTCTACAATGCTTGCGTTGCTTGTGACATAAGACGGCGTCACTGCTGCCCCTCCTCCTGGGTCCCACCTTCCATCACAATATTCGTCAACATCCTTCTTTGTCCGACGCGTGTTTCCAATTTCAAAAACACCCACTGTTCCCATCATACATAAATGGACCAAAAATAAAACATGATAATCAACCTCCTTCTCTCGCGGTGCCTCCACGACTACCCTATTGCTCATCTCTCCTACGTGCGCGTATGTTGTTCGCAACCAATCCAATTACTCCTTTTCAATACCACCATTTATTATGTTTAATTATCAAATTAATCATACCTAATCAATTACAATATCTACCCATATACACATATAGAAACAATTAGTTCGCATGTTTCTCCTCCTTTTTACTTTAAAAATAGAGAAATTAGAATATTTGAAATTAATTAAAAGTTTCGTTAAGGAAGTTTATTATAAGATGAATTGTCTATCGTTATTGTAACATAATAAAAAATATCTGTTTAATAACAGAAGAAAAACGTATAATAAGTTTCAGTATAATTAGTACGCTTTTCTAACATATTATCCTGTTAATAAAGGAAATGATTTTATTTCTTAATTAAAAAAGGGGAATGCAGATGGGGTTGAGGGGAAATTAATTATGTAAAATGAATGATTGACGATAATTTGAATCTTGTGAACGACGAATATATGAAGGAAACAAGAATGAGTATCTAGGGTTATGAGGAAAGAGGTTAACGGAATTAAGAGGAGAGATAGAAATAGAAAAGGAGAAATACAAGGAAAAGTTGGCCAAGACAAGGGACGGAGGAAAAGCCGATGAGAGCGGTGTTGTCACGTGCGTAGGTCATAATTATGGGCAAATCACACCGTAATTACCAAGATTACTCGATTGTTACTATGGTCCCAGAATGCCACGTGGCTTTAGCCCACTGGTCTACCCCTCTTCTGTTGGCGCTGTGCTGTTGAGTCCAAAGCACGCAAAGGAGCACAAGTAAGTTCCACGTGTCGTCCCAGCTGGACCATAACTACCCCGATTTGTGTGTCTTTGTGGTTGGTTTACCCGCTGGTGAAGATAACGCAGTAAAACAGTAAGTTGGGTCAGGACGGGCACGCCATGTCACGCTGCCCGCATAGCATAGGCGTAGTTTATAATTTAAATCTAAATAAAGTAATAAAGGTGGTAGGAATTAATTGTCATAAATATAAATAGGTAGTATGTGCGGTTTTAGAAAGAGGCGTAAGATCAAGGCGTGGGTTGTGCTTGGAGAAAGAGAGAGAATACAAGTAACTCTCCCACTCTCACAGCAACGCGCAGCGAATGCGAGCAAGTTTGGTAAGAGTTGTTTATGGCGATTTGATCGAAGGAGGTAGTGCATTAAAAGCCACCGTTTGGAATTTTAAGGCAACTTTATCTACTTGTACTATATATAACTTCTCCTCAGCTTTGAGACTCAAACACATCACGAGTAATCACTGCAACGTCGTATCGCTTCACCGTGTCACGTCGTTTCGGGTGGCTATTACTCGTTTTATTTAAGGCCGGTTCCCTATATCCACTTCTCATAACAGGTTTATTCTTTCCTTGCTTGGGTGTCTCAAGCTGCAAACGAATTACTCCACCTTTAAACTGCAAACATGGAGTGGCCAGCATGTACGGACGAGTACGAGAAGCTCGTAAATCGCATGAGCACTCCCAGGTTTGTCTATGAACTTCGATCCTTAATTCTTCTTTCTCTTTCCTGTTTTTCTTGTTAATTTTTTTTTAACCTTTTTCTCCATGCCCCTGATTAAGCCATTGTTTGAGGAGCGCGTTACCGCTTACGAATTTTTCAGAATCCTATTGCAATCTTCTGTTTATTATTCTTCTTTCATCCTTTTCTTCTGCCTTTATTTTTCATTTTGCCAAAAACTTTTCATAATCCCAAATCTCTTATTATCAATGTTCTGACTAGAGCTGGAATTTGTTTTGAAATTAATTGCTATTTCTTTTCTGTTTGTGTAAGTTTTTTTACCCTGTTGTCTCGTGAGATGTATTGGTTACCGATTCCAGCTTTCTCTTGCGTGCCTTGGATTTAATTATTTAATTTTCTAATCATATGAGACTGTGTCAAAAATCGAGGACATCTCGAATGGGGAGAAAAGTATGTTTCATCTAATCCCCACCGCTTTTGTCAAATTGATTAGTACCGACAACTGTATTTTAACAATTTTCTGACTTTTCTTTCTTTATCGTGTCCCATAACATAACTCTATTAACCCTTTTCTTCCAGAATGTTTTTCTTCATTCACATTACTTTTCCTTTTTATTGTGTTTTTCAGCCAGTCCTATAAATTAGGCATAAAAAAGTTGTAATTCCGCTGACTTTGACCTTTCGCTATGAAACAGGGTCGTCATAGATAATGCCGTGTGCTCTACTGCAACAATAGTCAAGGTAACCCCGGCAGGAAATCCGTCATTTGTTTTTTCTCAAATTGTTGGTTTTCAGGTCAAATATTAGGAAAATGAAAAACTAATGAATTTTCTTTGATAAAATATATAGGTTGATAGCGGCAGAAAACATGGGATTCTTTTGTATGCCGTACAAGTGCTTTCTGATCTGAACCTTTCAATTAAGAAGGCTTACATCTCCTCTGATGGCAGGTGGTTCATGGATGGTAAGTTAATTTTCCAATCTCTTTCTTTGCAGTGGTAGTTTTGATTCCGGGATAGCGCACTAATCTTTGCCTTGAATTCAATGTATAGTTTTTCATGTCACTGATCAAAACGGAAACAAGCTAACCGATGAGAGCGTTTTGAGATATATTGAACAGGTATTTATTAATTGTGGCATCTAATTTAACTTAAAAGTTTTGTACTGTCTCAAAAAAATCAATGAATTCAGTTATGGGTGTCGATTGTTATATATTATCGCACTCTGAATTTTGTTATGTTTATGTTATGTATCAGTCCCTTGGCGGAATTCACAGTGGGAATACCAATGACTTAAATGGTCTCACTATCCTTGAATTAACCGGCACGGACCGCGTTGGTCTTCTTTCGGAGGTATTTGCTGTACTAGCTGAGCAGCAATGTGATGTTGTTGATGCTAAGTTTTGGACTCATAATGGCCGGATTGCCTCCTTAATCTATGTGAAGGACAGCAATGCTGGGTCTCTTATGGAGGACTCTCAGAGAATTAGTACAATTGAAGCACGTTTAAGAAATGTTTTAAAGGGTGACAATGATATTAGAAGTGCAAAAACTTCCATCACTGATGCCGTTGTGCACACCGAAAGAAGGTTGCACCAAATGATGTACACTGACCGTGATTACCAGAGGAATCCCATTTTCAAGTTTACTTCCGATACCCCAATAGTCACGGTCCAAAATTGGGCGGAAAGGGGTTATTCAGTTGTCAATATTCAGTGCAAGGATCGAATTAAACTTTTGTTTGATGTCGTGTGCAATTTGACTGACATGGAATATGTTGTGTTCCATGCAACTATTAACACAACAGTTGACCAAGCGTATCTGGTAATTATTAGACATCAATTGTGTTGTTTTTCGGTTGGTAACTTGATTTACATGCTAAATTTGAACTTTAATTATTTCACTGCAGGAGTTTTATATAAGACACAAGGATGGCACCCCAATTAGTTCAGAACCAGAACGTCATCGTGTGATTCAATGCCTGCAAGCTGCAGTGGAGAGAAGGGCATTTGAGGTATAGAGTCCTTTCTTTTAGTTTTTTGTGTTAAATTATCAGTAATACCTCTTGGGTGCCTAAGATTCATATATTAAGTGGTGATTTTTTGGACACAGGGTGTTAGGCTAGAGTTATGCATGAAAGATAGACAGGGGCTTCTTGCTGAAGTGATGAGAACTTTTCGAGAGAATGGGCTGAATGTGACAAGGGCTGAGATATCTACCATTGGGGACATGACATCAAATGTTTTTTATGTAACGGATGCGATAGGATACCCTGCTGATCCAAAAATCATCGAATCTGTTAGGCAGAAAGTTGGGTTGAGCAATTTAAAAGTGAAGGAGGTAGCATTGGTATGCCATGAGAAGGCAGAAAGGGAAGATGAAGCAGTTGGGGTTGGTGGGGCAGTGTTGCTGTGTCTGGGGAGCCTGGTGAGAAGGAATCTTTACAATTTGGGTTTGATAAAATCGTGTTCTTGAAAGCAGAAAGGGGCGGGGTGAGTGGGGAATTTAGGATTGTAGAAGATATTTGCAACTTTTAGAGCATAATATTCTTTGCTTGAGATTTGGGCTTTGTGTACATAAAAAGTAAGGTGGAATTTGGTGATAGTAGTTGTTCGTTGGTTGGGTTGGATTTGGTAGGTGAAACTTGATCATATACAGGTGGGAGGAGTTGGGTCCCTACCATTTTAAATGCTTTGCGTGAAGAGGGGAAGTATTTAGGAGAAGAGATTGGGAATTGCATAAGAGGTTGTCGGCCTTGGTAAAAGTTGATTAATAGTATTATTGAATTCTTTGGTGGCATAGAGAAATACAGTTAGTTGCAGGACAAATTTGGTTCACACGGCACAAAAATTGTACATAACGGCGTATCAATTATTATTATTATTTAATGTAAATGGTTCTCTCTATTCTTTAATTTAACTGTCTACCTGGCATGCTCTTAAAGATTCTGTGTTGCTCTGTGGTGCACCACTTTATGCACGGATCTTTTTCGTTTCGTTTTTGCCCCACATAAAATTATGTCTATAGAAGACTACTAATGAATGGATTTAAAATCAGATCAAGAACATGAACTTTTAATTCACTGCTACAATCAAATTGATTTCTGATATCGTAATAATAAGAAACATTAATAAAACTAATTTATTTTATATTTTTATATAATCCATTTTTAGGTAAATTTAATACCATTCTTTTAATATGGAAGGAAAACTAGAGGTAATAAGGTAACCACATTAACTATATGACTTAAATGGTCACACATTTGCATTAGTTTCTTTCTTCTTTTTCTTTTTTCATTTTCTTATCGAACAGTTATAAATGTATTTTATTTTTATTTTTTTGTCCTTGAGGAAAGTTGAATATGTTTTATTGTGACGTTTACATTTTAAAGATAAAAATCACTTTTTGTCTGAGGTGCCAGACATGTTTTGTTTAATGGAAACCACAACATGGACATGGGATTTGACTCTATTTGTTGCTGTTGTTTCTTAAGGGTTACTCCAGTAACCTTGCTAAAGCTGAAATATAAACAAATAAATAAAATTTTAAAGCTTATCACAATGAACATGTCAGTCATTATTTATTTTAAACATTAACAGATATCTGTTAAATTTATTTCCCTCCATTAAAAAATATATATATTTTAATCTCTTTATCTATTATTTCATAAAATTAATAAAATATATTTTTTAAAGTTTTATCTTTGTTTTTCTGTATTCTCAATGAGTGAATTGTTTCTATTTCCTTTGAATATGTACTAATGAAAAACACTACACACTAATTCATTCCCATACTTTTTCCATCACTTGTGTGAGAGTAAGGGTTTAATGAGACAAAAGTGCTTCTAGTCGAAAACACAAAAGATAAAGGAATGGATGACAAAGTGATAAAAGTGGGAAAATATTTTTAAAATAAAACTCTTGAAATGTTTCAGCTTTGATAATTTGACATACATTTCATAGAATAAAACACTAGTTTTCTATTTGTTGCTTCGGCCTATGCTGTTGGCAGAACCACATAAAGGTACCCAACACTTAATTATTAGTGTCTGCTTCACATAAAAGCAAGTTTACACAATTTCTATTGCATATACCCGCTCTAGGAACAAGCATCATTTTTCAAAGATTCTTCTATGCAGTCAAAAGGATTTTGAAAACAGTCATATCCTTAATGTATAATAATATATGATATTTGTTTTTAATTTATGTATTACATAATATATTAACTATTATGCTATTTTGTACCTCTTTTAACAATAAAATAACAAAAAACAAAATTGTTATTAGAGGTGTACAGCCATTATACGTTGCTAAGGAAGAAAGTTTGGATAATTAAAAAAATTTTATAATTAACTATTTATTAAAATGTTTAAGGAAAGTCGTTAAATATAATTAGAGCAGAGTGAAATTTCATGTCCGAAACCGTAAATGAGTTTAAAATTGTGAGTTATTTTGCACCTTACTATTTGTGTACTTGTGATTAAGAGTGCAGTTAATTTAAAACCCTTTCAAATACCTCAGTCTTAATTTGCGATGTCTCAATCGGTTTGAATTCCTTCATCAATATTTAGATAAAAAAAATTACATCCCTTTCAAGAAATTAAAATATATTAAATTTGAATTATTACCAGTTTTTTAAATTTTAATAAGATAATTAAAATTATTAAATTTTATATTTTTGGATAAATTCAATACAATAAATATTTTCATATTATATAATATTTAATTATTAAAATATAAGTGAAGGAATGATATTTTTTTGTCCATGCTTGTTAAAATTCTTTTTTACTGAAGTGAGTAAGAACAAAATTTCTTCACTAACGTTGAGGTTATTTTAGACAGATATTTGATTAATATTAGACATTTTTTTACACAATTAGTTAACATATTTTTTTGGGCAACTTAATTGAAATTTTTTCTTTCAAAATATTAATGGATAAAATCTTCCTTGATGTTTGAAAAAGAAAATACTGATGTTTAATAAGAGAATAATAACTAATTTATGTTTGGAAGTAATATTCACTTATACTAAGTTAATTCGATGATGTTGATAAAAAGAACTCATGATATTTTATTTTTAGTTGACTTTAGTATGTCTGAATTATGTCACATTATTTTTAAATAATTTGTATTAAAATTTTATTTTAATGTAACTTTTATAGATATCTATATATTTTATTTATATTTTTACTTTTTCATATCTTAAAAATAATTTAATTTTTATAATTAAATATAAATGTAAATAAAATAAAAATGTAATGTTTTTATTATTTTTATAATTTTTATTTGTTATTTATTTATTTATTCAAGATTGTTTAAATTTCAACTACTTGCAGACAGTGTAGATCTAATATAATTTTTTATAAAATAAGTTTTATTTGGTTAAGTAACGAGTGACTTTGAATTTGAGGTGACAAACTATAACTAAGTTGATATAGTGAAATGGAGTTTAAACCCTCTTTTAAAATGTTATTTCTATTGATCAAAATGAAAATAAAAAATAATTCTTTTATATATTTACAGATAATTGTAGGTGATTATAGTAAATTTGTCTTTGCGCCAGACGTGGTTTTCTATTATCGTATTTACGGCAAATATTAATATTTCATCATATCAGAATATAAATAATAATCAGAGGTAGGTTGATGTTAGAGTTTTTTTTTTTTTTTTTACATAGATATGACTTATTAATATTGGGCCCAAATTACTTATTTGTTGGAATGAGGAAGCCTGTTTTGTAGTTGTACAATGAATTATCTTCAGTTCTGAGCCCAAAGTAATATAACTTTTTTTCATTTTCTATAATTCAACAGCACAGACAAATAAAATCCACAATCTTGTTTTTCCATCGTAACAGGATTATTGTATTTAGGATAGATGTAAGGAAAGAATACAACAGAAAAAAATGGTTCCTAGATTATAAATTTAAATTCAATTTTTAAAATGATAATATTTTAAGGAATACTTTTTAAATATTGTTTTTATATGGCTTTTAAATTTTTATAGAGTTATAATCATCTCATTAAGACACAATTATTATCTGATTATCATATAAGGATTACTTGTTTATTTCATAAACATACTTTTTATTTTAATTTGGCTTAAATTGATATCTTTTTTCTTGACCACTCATCTCAAACCATTCCCCTTTTTTTTTTCATATGTTTGATTTTTTTTTTTCAAATCATTCACCTCTCTCAATCTACATTTTTTGACTTTATTTTAATTTTTTTTGTTATGAACATAATCTTATATGAAAACATATAGTATTTGTTTAAATAAAAAACATATATTGTTTTAACAGAAAAGTAAAATTCATCAAACATAAGAGACGAAATTTGTTTTAATTTAATTATACCCCTAACTTTTCTTCCAGCACAAATATATCCCTCACATGAACAAAGCTTTGAAGGGCACAAATTCACTTATATAGTGATTGATACAGATGTAAGTAAATAAAGAGAAAGAGTGAAAAAATAAAAGAGAGAGAGAAATGAGAAACAAGAAATGGGTGTAAATAATGAGGTTTTAAAATTGGGTTTTAGACGGTGGAGTAGCCTTGTGTAGTAGGCCCCAAAACCCAGGCCATGCAAATCAACCATACCTCATCAATGCAAAATTTGATGGTTTCACATGGTGCACATAAGGAATTTGTCAAAAAATTAAAATGATTAATATACCATTTGTTTCTCTTAACACTATTGTGGTTCTTAAAATACAATAAAATAGTAGTTGGTGTATTATTACATAGGATAATAAATTTTATACAATTAAAACTTAAAATATAACTATTTTAATTGCAGAAATTACATTGTATTAAGATTCATAATAAATATAATTTATAGGTAAATTTGAGTTTTTAAATTATAAATTTAAAAAAGATTGAGAATGAGTTGATTTTTTTATTTTTTTTTAATTTTATATCTTCTTGTATATATATTTATTAGAATAATTATTTTTTAATAAATTTTATTTTATAGGTATTAGTGTGATTTACTTTAAATTTTTTATTAAAAAAGTCACTTTCACAAAATACAAAATTTAAATATGATTTAATTTGATTTGATTTTTATTTAAAAAATTAAATAAAGAAATAATATTTTGTAATTTGATTTGAATGAATTTTGAGAATTTTTTATTATAAATTTATTAAAAATATTATATTAAAATAATATTCAAATAAAAAATATATTATAAAATATTATATAATTAATTATAATATTCTTAATTTCATATATATGTTTAATTTTAAAAAAATACATATTTTAAATTATAAAAATTAATTAATTCACTCGTGTTAAATCTTATTTTGTGTTTTCTTGATTATAATCGAATATATTAAATTTTTAAAAATTTCAATCTAAAATAATTTTGATTTTTTTTTATTAATTTTTAATATTTTTTATTAGTTTGATTGTAAACCCCTCCATTATTTAATGATAATGTTTTTAAGAATTTTTGTTTAATGATAATATT